CTACCCTTGCCCACTGCCCACGTCTATACAAGTCCTGCCCACTCCTATACAAGCCCTGCCCACTCCTATACAAGCCCTGCCCACTCCTATATAAGCCCTGTCCACTCCTATACAAGCCCTGTCCACTCCTATACAAGCCCTGCCCACTCCTATACAAGCCCTGCCCACTCGTATAAATACAGGAGAGGAATAGAATACGTTCATACAAGATCTAAACGTAAGAATTGTCAGGAATGAGGAATTCAAAGTTGAAGTTATGAATGGATTTAAGGCAGAATATAGGCAGTGGAAGAGGTAGGGAATTCAAAGAAAGCAAGAATATCAACAGCGGAGGAGAGAGACTCAAACACCTATAGAATATAACTGAGTAAAGCGGAACAAGATTCGATAAAACATTTCACAAACCTAGGAAGGTATACGAATGAAAGAAAACGACCAATGAAAGTTATCTTTAAGAATGGTAATCCAGCTCAATATATAGTGACAGAAATATATAAGAATTTGAGGGATGAAGCAAAGGTACCATGAAGTATACAGTCGTTGAGGATAAGATTCTTCTTGTGGGTTAATGATATACCTTATCTTGGTTCATTCTGATTATTGAGTGGGTAATAACCTTAGTCTCAGTGTGTTGTACATAGTCTTGTACCGATCCTCCAGTGCTAGGTGTTGACTCCTTAACAACAGTGAGATAAGCAAAGAATAAATCCACACGGGCTGTGACGAGGATTCGAACCTACGTCCGAGATCATCCCAGACGCTGCCATAATCGACTGAGCTGCGACATGGTCAAAAGAGTTGAAACCAGAAGTTGTCCCGAACTTGGATCCTGCAGCCTCTCCGAGACACAAACCAGGGTTTATAACTCTGGGCACTGCACTAAGCAACTGCAGAAGGTCCATTATCATTCTACTGATACACTAACACAGGTAATATAGGAAGGAATGACAAAAAGTATCATGGAAGGAAAGCAAATAAGAATTGCCAGTAGCCTAGGAAGTTGTTGTTAAAGATTTGCTACCTGGAACAAAGTTCCAAGTAGCACGGGCTATGGTGAGCCCGTAGTGCCTTTAGCCTAGGAAACAATTTACTCAAGTGCTTGAGATTTGACATAACAAATTCCATTAGCAGCCATTAGTAAGTTCTGTTTAATTGAGTACATTTGCATCCTTTGAGCATGTTCGTATTGTATATATTCCTGGCAGGACGTTCATGCCGACTCTAATCTATGTTGAGGCTAGCAGCCAACTCTGTGGCACCCAGACAAATTACTGCAATTAGTTTGATAGCCTCTTATCTAACTGCTAACCGCATATCTTGCTATGTAATCAAAAATATGTCTCATCCACTCTATTCCACATGGCCCATCACGTATGTTCTCATCTATAACAGTCTCAAGGTAAGGTAGTAAGTAAAACATGCTCGAGTAACGTTGAAACGACGTTTTATTTGAAAATTTAAATTTGATGTGCGCGCGCGCACTTTTGCTTGTGTATGTGTGCAAGTGTGCGTGTGTGTGTGTGTGCCTGCCTATATTTTCTGGGAGAGGTAAGCTTGCTAGGGGCGCGGGGAGGGCCACGGAAGGTGGCACTGAGGACCCAGGCGATGAAGACGTGTCCTTAAAGACGACGAAAGCATCGGCCAAGATATCTGGTCGCTGGAACAGTGCCGTATACACCATCGATTTTCTTGACGGGCAGGAAAGGGAGAGGAAGGAACGGGATGCTCCTCATATGGTACTAACTCACATATGCTCCAGCTGTCAGAGTCTGGCTCTATTGTCCTTGTAGTCTGGCTCTATTATCCTCGTAACCAGAGTCTATCATTCTATTGGCCTGTTCTATAATGACCTGGCTTTTTCTTTCGCGTGGCTTGGCTCAGTGTTTCATGTCTTCACTCCGGTTTGGCTTTGGATTCCTTGGCTGTTTCTGAGCTCTTTCAACCGTCTGACTTTAGAAGAGAGCAACTAATCTTTAAGTACACTTGGGGATTAGAGTGACAAGTAGCGGTGCCTGTAAATCTCTTGTGTTCCCTCGACACCCGGATTGGGGGGGGGCTTCCGGCCGACACCTGGAGTCTCGCTCATTCGTTCATTCTTGTTCTCCACTATAGGGGTAAGGAATGGCTTGGGGATTGAGAGACAGGCGACCAGTGGGGAGGTCAGGAGGTTTGTGAAAGGGGAAGGAACAGTTAGCTCCTGTAGTGTGGGGCAGATGTGCGGAAGATGGTAGTGTTGTGGAGGTTTCTGGGCTGTACTGGTGTGGAGGCTTCCGGAAGGTTCAGAAGGGCTCCTTGAATGCTTCAAATGTGTTGACCTTTGAAAGATTCAATGGAGGCCAGGTCTTGCTGGTGGAGCTTCAGTTGCCTTTGGAAGCTGGTGAGGAATTGAGTGGAAGGCGCAGGTTTGGAGATATCTGGAGAGAACAGGTGTGGTGACGTCAGTGTTCGTTAAGATGGCAGGAGAAAGATGAGGGGGCGTGGTTTGGAGGGGGTATTGTGGGGGGGGGGGCGTGGTTTGGAGGGGGTATTGTGGGAGGGGGCGTGGTTCGGAGGGGGTATTGTGGGGGGGGCGTGGTTTGGAGGGGGTATTGTGGGAGGGGGCGTAGTTTGGAGGCGGTATTGTGGGAGGGGGCGTAGTTTGGAGGGGGTATTGTGGGAGGGGGCGTGGTTTGGAGGGGGTATTGTGGGAGGGGGTGTGGTTTGGAGGGGGTATTGTGGGAGGGGGCGTGGTTTGGAGGGGGTATTGTGGGAGGGGGCGTGGTTTGGAGGGGGTATTGTGGGAGGGGGCGCGGTTTGGAGGGGGTATTGTGGGAGGGGGCGTGGTTTGGAGGGGGTATTGTGGGAGGGGGCGTGGTTTGGAGGGGGTATTGTGGGAGGGGGCGTGGTTTAGAGGGGGTATTGTGGGAGGGGGCGTGGTTTGGAGGGGGTAGTCCTTAGTCAGCTGTCACGGGCTGCTTCCTGGAGGTGGAGGCTTGGTCGAGGACCGGGCCGCGGGGACACTAAAAGCCCCGAAATCATCTCAAGATAACATCAAGAAGATATTGTGTTGGGAGTGTCGTTGACAGTCGTGTAGGGGGTCGTAGTTCTATTAGTATTCATGTATCAAGGATGAAGTTGAATTCAACCTCGGTATCCCCATTTCTGTTGACAAGACTGTATTATTCCAAACACTAAGGGTCTAATAGGAGATAAATTACCGACTCTCAAAGGCCTGAAAGCACCTGTGTAAAAAGCTATTTATTTCGGTCCGTAATTTGTGTTGATGGGCCGCCTAAAACGTGGACCAGACTGTGCGACACAGTGGTTGCCAGGATCAGGTTGGGTTATCGTTACCTGTGGCAGGTGGCTACCGTTACCTGTGGCAGGTGGCTACCGTTACCTGTGGCAGGTGGCTACCGTTACCTGTGGCAGGTGGCTACCGTTACCTGTGGCAGGTGGTTACCGTTACCTGTGGCAGGTGGCTACCGTTACCTGTGGCAGGTGGCTACCGTTACCTGTGGCAGGTGGTTACCGTTACCTGTGGCAGGTGGCAACCGTTACCTGTGGCAGGTGACTACCGTTACCTGTGACAGGTGGCTACAGGTGACAGATCTCCCTATCCTGAGCACTCCAGGTGCAAACTCTGTGAGCAGGAACTGCGGCATGATCTCCCACACTACATCACCGAATGCCCAGTTACCAGACCATTCAGATCCGTTGGCATGAGGTACCTAGAGCTTTGCAATGACTTTATTCACTCTCGTGTTCTTGAAGATATCCTCATAATGCTCCCAGAGTCTGCCAGTGCAGGCTACTGATCACATGCCTCTGTATGACTAACCATCCTGTGTGATGGGGATTTTTAGTATCACGTAGCTAGTTCTTGACACTGTACTCCCCTTCACATAGTCTAGGGCAGCTGCACAAATGTAGATGTACCTAAATTTATTACAAAAGAAAAATGGTTCGGTCGACGGAGGCAGAGAAGGCCAAGGAAGGGCCCCCTCCTTGGGGCTTTTCTGGGGCGTTGTGGGGGCGGAGGGGGGGGGGGGGGGCGGAGGGGGACCTTCATGGGGCGTTGTGGGGGGAAGGGGACAGTATTAAAGGCCAAGGTCACTGATACATAAAGTCTGAATCTGTCACGAAGGATCAGACTTGTCACCCAAGCTGGTCGACAAGCGTGTCACCCCCCCCCTCTCTTCCCTGGTCGACAAGCGTGTCACCACCCCCCCTTCCTGGTCGACAAGCGTGTCACTCCCCCCCCTTCCTGGTCGACAAGCGTGTCACCCCCCCTTCCTGGTCGACAGGCGTGTTATCCCCCTTCCTGGTCGACAAGCGTGTTACCCCCACTTCCTGGTCGACAAGCGTGTCACCCCCCCTTCCTGGTCGACAAGCGTGTCACCCCCGCCCTTCCTGGTCGACAGGCGTGTTTCCTAAGATGGTCGACAATGGCCTCGACAGTGCAGTCAACCGTTGTCGGTCCGTTGACAGCTTCTCATCTGTCACTAAACCTGTGTTGTCCTGCGCCCCTGCATGAACCTGGACAGAGCTACGGTGACGGATCCTGGACAGTGTCTCGCAGATTTTCTGTCCTGCATCAAGAGTTCTGTCTATTAGGGACAGAACACTCGCAGTGTTTCCACTGCGAGACGACCCCGTCGGAGCAGGGCGTGGAGTGCCTTGGGTAATAATCCACTGTAAACTTGCACTCGTGACCCGAGCTGTCGTCACTCTTTCACTCCAAACTTCAATCAGTGAAACTATTTACATTTATTTGACGTTTGCAAAACGTAGATGAAGTGTGTGCAGTTGATGGCCGATGAGATTGAGAGAGTTGCTTGTCGGTATCCGCTACGAATATTGAATGTATTCGTTTGAAATATTCCTGGCGCGTGCTTCCTTTAACAGTACTTCAGTGAAATAGGTTATACCAAGGGCACTGAAGTGCTGATGTAAATATATCCACATGCTGCAGCTCGTAAACTAAATAGGATAAATGCTGTCATAGGTTCGAGACGGGGAAATGTATGCCGTGGTGGCTATAGTGAGGTGGGTGGAGGGTCCTGTGAAGTCCTGAGAGGCCCTGAGACACACAAGTGTCTTAAGAAAAAAGGTGTGGAGAGTCCTGAGAGACAGATATAGAGGCCGATCAGATGACGGAGAAGCCTCCTCACTTGGGTCACCTCCTGAGATGGGTTTAGTCTGCTCTGGGAAGTGCGGTCTGGATACTGTGGGGCCAGAGCCCGATGCCCACACACCCACACACCACGGCGACAAACCCACATTTCCCACACAGACTCTCAGGAAAGACGTGCCCACAGAAAACTCTGACAGGGACTTGAGAAGTGAGCGTGATTTCGGGAGTGAGTTGAACAAGACCCAGACCGATACTCAAGAGGACCTAGAGTGCGGGATGCCCACTCGCACGCTCCTGGTGGGGGAGTACCTCTCTGGGGACACTGCCGGCCTCCGCGACCCTTCGTCAGGTAAGTCTTCGATCCCCTTTTTGGTATTATAATTCCAATTACGGGCTCACCATAGCCCGTGCTACTTGGTACTTTCTGTTTCAGATAGCGAATCTTAAAGAACAGACTGTGGGTGAAGCCAGGTACTAGAACAGTGCTCGCAATTCAGTGATAAACTAATTTAAATAAAGATAACAAAATTTGTATAGTTCTGAGGTTTCAGAAATCAGCTAATTATGTATTAAGGAGAGACTCGAAGTGCCAGAACCGTATTGGAGAGGAATGTTGTGTGTATAATGTGTGTACCTAGAATATGTACTGAATTTCCGAGGGATAAGTGACCATATGGAATACATATGGCCAATTCTCTCTCATCACTAGCGATAATTCATTTATATTTCTACTTGTCTATGTGTGTAGCTTGTGTAGAGGAGGACAGTTCATCGCGATAGTTAGCCATACTAGGTGATCCCACCGGCCAGTTACGATAGAATCATCTCCTTTAACGAGACGTTTCCTTGTTGTCCAGACCACACACTAGAAAGTGAAGGGACGACGACGTTTCGGTCCGTCCTGGACCATTCTCACAATTGACTTGAGAATGGTCCAGGACGGACCAAAACGTCGTCGTCCCTTCACCTTCTAGTGTGTGGTCTGGTCAACCTACTTCAGCCACGTTTTTGTGACTCATCGCCTGCAGACGTTCCCTTACATTCCACCCCAAGTTTTATTATTTTTAATGGCAATTTCGTATAAAGTTTACACGACGTCATTAGAGGCTTCTGAGGATGTTGGCGTGAGACGTCTAGGCATCTTCGCTTCTTATTTGGCCGCTTGACGGGAATCTAGAGAGAATAAGTCATCATACCGTAGCTGAATACAAGATAGATTAGACGCTCAATCCACACGTCTGAAAATAACGGAAGTGACGACGTTTCAGTCCGTCCAAGACCATTGACATGTCGTGTAAAATAAGAGTGGTGATTGATTGATGAAGATTAAGCCACCCAAGAGGTGGCATGGGCATGAATAGCCCCGTAAGTGTGGATTTTGTTTTGTAAATTAATATATACAGTGTGCTGAGGTCGCATTTAATCCTCAGGCTGCTATTGTGGGGAAGGATATTGCTTGACAGTATTTATGAGGGTCTCCAGCTGCTGGACACCTTTTTTGACCAGAAGAGTGGCAATGTTGATGGCTTCAGGGTGGTTACTGCAATATGCAGGGACTCTTGAAGCTCTTCTAAGGTCGTTGGTTGCTGCACATTCCAGGAGATAGTGAAGTAGTGGCTTTTCTGTGATTGTTTGGCAGAAGATGCACTCTCTCTGTCGGGGTTCACCAATCTCCCAGTGGTGTGGGAAGTCGACATATAAGGTGAGATTGTGAGGGGAAAGGCGAGAAGGTCAGACGTGTACCATAAACGTTAATACGAATAAAGAAAAGTTCAGAAGGCCTAAAGGCGAACAGAAAGAGCTGAAATAGAGATCAAAGAGACAGCAAGCAAGAAGAAGGGTGATATACCCAAGAGTCAATATATATACAGCTAAAGTCCAATCAGGTTTGTTAAGAAGTTTAGAGCATTAAACAATGTACCAAGAAAGTCAAGATTGAACAGCAGCAACATCATGACTTAAGGGTCACGTTAGGCTCCTTGTGGATGACAACTGGTTCCCCAAGACTGTAAAGTGTAGAGGCAAAACAAATTATTTTGGAAGACTTAAAGACGATCTTGTTCGTATCTACAAACTTAACATTTATCTTATATTCTTTATGTCTGGCATTAAGAGTAGTTTCACCGAAGTATTGGAGAGGACATAACGATCAGGAAATCAATTAAACACCAGTATTATTGAAAGCGCAAGTAGCAGTGTAGAACAGATTATTACGAAGTGTGTTAGTGTGTTGAAAGGAAAGTTTTATATCGAGAGGACGAAGGGTATTAGGGAGGTTTTTAAGTCCAAACATGAAGGGAAATCACAGAAGAGTTTCGAGTCACTATCATTCAAGAATTTTCTCGACTTTAATTTTTTATGATAATCTGTGTTTGTTATATAGTAAATACTAATGCTAGATATATTCAGGGTGAGTATATAGATACAGGTGTGTGTGGTGTACCGTTCACCCACCATAAGTGTACCGTTCACCCACCACAAGTGTACCGTTCACCCACCATAAGTGTACCGTTCACCCACCACAAGTGTACCGTTCACCCCCACAAGTGTACCGTTCACTCACCATAAGTGTACCGTTCACCCACCATAAGTGTACCGTTCACCCACCATAAGTGTACCGTTCACCCACCATAAGTGTACCGTTCACCACCACAAGTGTACCGTTCACACACCATAAGTGTACCGTTCACCCACCATAAGTGTACCGTTCACCCACCATAAGTGTACCGTTCACCCACCATAAGTGTACCGTTCACCACCACAAGTGTACCGTTCACACACCATAAGTGTACCGTTCACCCACCATAAGTGTACCGTTCACCCACCATAAGTGTACCGTTCACCCACCATAAGTGTACCGTTCACTCACCATAAGTGTACCGTTCACTCACCATAAGTGTACCGTTCACCACCACAAGTGTACCGTTCACCACCACAAGTGTACCGTTCACCACCACAAGTGTCCCGTTCACCCACCACAAGTGTACCGTTCACCCACCATAAGTGTACCGTTCACCACCACAAGTGTACCGTTCACCACCACAAGTGTACCGTTCACCCACCACAAGTGTACCGTTCACCCACAAGTGTCCCGTTCACCCACCATAAGTGTACCGTTCACCCACCATAAGTGTACCGTTCACTCACCATAAGTGTACCGTTCACCACCACAAGTGTACCGTTCACCCACCACAAGTGTACCGTTCACCCACAAGTGTCCCGTTCACCCACCACAAGTGTACCGTTCACCCACCATAAGTGTACCGTTCACCCACCACAAGTGTACCGTTCACCACCACAAGTGTACCGTTCACCCACCATAAGTGTACCGTTCACCACCACAAGTGTACCGTTCACCACCACAAGTGTACCGTTTACCCACCACAAGTGTACCGTTCACCACCACAAGTGTACCGTTCACCCACCACAAGTGTACCGTTCACCACCACAAGTGTACCGTTCACCACCACAAGTGTACCATTCACCCACCACAAGTGTACCGTTCACCACCACAAATGTACCGTTCACCACCACAAGTGTACCGTTCACCCACCACAAATGTACCGTTCACCACCACAAGTGTACCGTTCACCACCACAAGTGTACCATTCACCCACCACAAGTGTACCGTTCACCACCACAAGTGTACCGTTCACCACCACAAGTGTACCGTTCACCCACCACAAGTGTACCGTTTACCCACCACAAGTGTACCGTTCACCACCACAAGTGTACCGTTCACCACCACAAGTGTACCGTTCACCCACCACAAGTGTACCGTTCACCCACCACAAGTGTATAGTTCACCACCACAAGTGTACCGTTCACCCACCACAAGTGTACCGTTCACCACCACAAGTGTACCGTTCACCACTACAAGTGTACCGTTCACCCACCACAAGTGTACCGTTCACCACCACAAGTGTACCGTTCACCACCACAAGTGTACCGTTCACCACCACAAGTGTACCGTTCACCACCACAAGTGTACCGTTCACCACCACAAGTGTACCTTTCACCCACCACAAGTGTACCGTTCACCACCACAAGTGTACCGTTCACCACCACAAGTGTACCGTTCACCCACCACAAGTGTACCGTTCACCACCACAAGTGTACCGTTCACCCACCACAAGTGTACCGTTCACCACCAAAAGTGTACCGTTCACCACCACAAGTGTACCGTTCACCACCACAAGTGTACCGTTCACCACCACAAGTGTAACGTTCACCCACCACAAGTGTACCGTTCACCACCACAAGTGTACCGTTCACCACCACAAGTGTACCGTTCACCACCACAAGTGTACCGTTCACCCATCACAAGTGTACCGTTCACCACCACAAGTGTACCGTTCACCCACCACAAGTGTACCGTTCACCACCACAAGTGTACCGTTCACCACCACAAGTGTACCGTTCACCACCACAAGTGTACCGTTCACCACCACAAGTGTACCGTTCACCCACCACAAGTGTACCGTTCACCACCACAAGTGTACCGTTCACCCACCACAAGTGTACCGTTCACCCACCACAAGTGTACCGTTCACCACCACAAGTGTACCGTTCACCCACCACAAGTGTACCGTTCACCACCACAAGTGTACCGTTCACCACCATAAGTGTACCGTTCACCCACCACAAGTGTACCGTTCACCCACCACAAGTGTACCGTTCACCCACCATAAGTGTACCGTTCACCACCACAAGTGTACCGTTCACCACCACAAGTGTACCGTTCACCACCATAAGTGTACCGTTCACCCACCACAAGTGTACCGTTCACCCACCACAAGTGTACCGTTCACCCACCATAAGTGTACCGTTCACCACCACAAGTGTACCGTTCACCCACCGCAAGTGTAACGTGACACGACTCTAGAAACCTATAAAAATCAGTTAGATCAGACAATAATGATCTGAACGGGTGAATATGATTTCTAAAATCTCAATAAAAATAAGATACATATAAGCGAATAAAGATTATTGACGATCTATATCTTTAAAAGTGAGTGTCTGTCTGTTCGTGCGTCCAAAGTTGCAGGTCAGAGGTTTTGGGCTAGTCTCACTCAGCAGGGGAAATGGTCTGGAGTTCGGGAGAGACATAGGCTGGTCAGAGTCCCCAGAATTCAAGAGGTAAATGCCACGATCTCATAATAACTCCATGATGATTTTGTCACTATCTGCCAGCTACTCTGATAAATATTTTAAAAACAATAATTTAAAAAAAATCTTACAGAAGTATTCACCGTCTGAGGAATTTTAACAGAAATTTCCTGCTATTCAATCTCATATTACCGTAAAACCCAACTTTAAATCAGCCTAATTTCCTCCCCCACTGACGGA